GAATGGCAGCTGACAATATATTCAAAGGCTTAGGAAATGTACCTACCTTCTGAACCATCAGTGAAGGTCTATGAACATACCCTTTGGAAATGATTAAGACTGTGCACAAAGATGTATGGAGTAGGATGCTCTCTTTTGTACTGTGTACAATCAGAAACATACACTCTGGTGCAAATCCATGATGGAATACTAGTCATTGAAAATGATATGGCAGTAGCACTTACTAGGGGTGGGGGTGGGGAACAGCTTAAACTAGTGTGTTAAATGTAACAGCTTAAACTAGTGTGTTAAGTGTGTCTTTTTTTACAGACACACACAACACATGCATTGACAAGATCTCCATCAGAATAATGATCATTCCACTTAGTGCTCCTTTGCATTTTCTAAATCTCAACTAAGCATGTATCACTAGTCTAATTAGGAAAAAATAATATCTTTAAATGTTGGTGTTATCAGGAGAGGGAAATTACTGGAGAAAGTCCCTTGGTGAAGTAATAGTAGTTGTTGTTGTGTGCCATTAAGTCAGAACCAGCCCACAGCTGACCCTTCAGTGGGTTTTCAGAGGCAGTTCATTGCACGAGAAGAGACTGCCCATCCTTCTCCTGTGGAAGAGCTGGTGAATTTGAACCGCATGCCTTCATGACTGCAGTGCAACTTCTTACCACTAGGCCACCAGAGATCCCTTGGTAAGGTAGAAGTTAAAAACAATTCTAAAACCTTCAAAAAGCGACTTCAGCAATGGGTTTAAGCACAGCAGAAATTGTGAAGATGTCACGGGATCCAGCGAGGCTTCACTTCACTGAACACAGAGTCACTATGGGTTGGTGCCAACCAGTTGGCATCTAATAGCAACAACAGCCACAAATGTCTGGTCCAGGGAGCAAAGAAATTAGCTCACAAACAAGAATAAAGAGGTTTTCTGAAGGATGATGGTGACAGCTGTGCACTTGATCTCTTCTCTATTCATCTAAGACCCATAAGATCAAAAAGCTAAATTGTATTTTTATTGTCCTGACTTACTAAAGCAAAATGAGAAAAATGATAATTCTAAAGGTAAATTTTACATATACACATCCAGAAACACATGTAATCAAACACTCTGCTTAATTACATTTATAAACCACATATGCTGGTCACAGATCATTCTGTAATCTAGAGAGCAGATGGGGTAGTAAGGGCTTATTGAGTTATATTCCTGGTTCACCATGACCTCAGGAAAGAAGGGCCATGGGGGGGTGGTATTGGTGGGGGGTAGGGGGTGGCATGGTGGGGTAGGGGTGAAATATAACAACAGTGCTCAGAAAGAAAGCTGTACCCAGATACAATAGTGAGAATCTTTTTTGCATATATCTTTGTAATTAATACAAGAGACAAAAAATAAGGAATACAATGTTCCAAACAGTTACAGCCCATAGAATTGACATTACAAAGTAGGTCTAGATTGACATAACAAACTAGATTTGGATCATCCGTAGGCATCTGTAAGAGAACTGAGGTGCAGAGGCTTCGGAATGAGTCAACTCCCAGCCTATGTGTTGAGAGGGTACAGATATTTCTAAAAAGAAAGGAACCACTAGTTTTTAAGTACTTCTGGTGCTTGCATACAGTGTCCAGGACACAGGGAAGATAACAAGTCATTACTAGTCTTTGTACATGCTGATTGGTGGAGGCTACTGTGGATTTCTTTATTTTCTAAGTAGGCAAGGCTCATAAATTGACCAATTCACATTGTGATTACCTTATACAATGCATGCATGTTATTGGTACAGAGGAGTGCATGAATGGTCATTTAAAGGTCATTTTACCTCAAAGGACTATGACTCTCCCATTTATTTTTCCCTTCATCAAATACTTACTCAAAACCTTGTGCCATAACATAGTACATAACATAGTACAAAAAGATAATGTCCTACATCCTGGTGGTGTGGGCAACATCTGGGATCTTAACAGGTTGTGAGTAGACATCTAAGACACAACTAATGTTCCCTTCTCCCCCAGGACAAAGTGAGGGAAACCAGAGACTCAAAGAAGCAATTGCAATTAGTCCTAATGACTAATAGTGGCCCAAAGGGCTAATACTTACATGGACTGCAGTCTTCTCTAGCCTGGGATCCTAACTAGATGGTGCCTGACCACCATTACTGGCCACTCTGACGAAGTACACTCTATAGAAGATTCCATTTAGAATGGGAACAAAGCAAAGAACAAAACTCAAATTCACTTAAACACGAAACAAAATCCTCAACCAGATATATTATCTAATAGAGATTACAGGAACCCCCAAGACCACTTCCCTAAATTACCTCGACGGCACATAACAACAACAACAACAATGTGGAACTGAAGCCGTCACCTCTCAACCACACAACAGACTGGCATATGAAACAACAATGCTAATTAACAAGAGGACCAAAAGGAATGTGACTATGAGAATGACTGACTACAGGAGACCAAAGGGTAGCATCTGCCCCACAACAAAGATGTGAAGGAAGGAAGGAAGAAGTTACACAAACAGAAATGTGCAACCCAGGATTGAAAGGTTACGTAGATCTCACCCAAACATCACAGAACAACTTGAGTGTGATATATTGAATAGAAAATGAATTTGCTATGTAAACTTTGACCCAGAACAAAAATTAAATGTTTGAAAGAGAGAAAACACCCTTGTACCATCTAATCCATTCCTATCACCAGAAAATGGGTGAAAGGAGAATCTTTATGGGACATGACTTGAGCAACTTATCTTGAAGACAGCTGGTGAACAACAATGGCACAATCCTGAAGACTCATCGTAAGCTGCCTCCGCCTCACTGCCCACCTCCTGGAATCCAGAACATTAGGGTGCGAGGGAGCTGACTCAAGAGAGAAAAAGCACTGCTATCTGACTTCACTAGAGAGAGCATGACTATTTTGACTCACTTGGGATGGAGGAGGAGAGAATATGAAGTGGAATTATTCTTATCTGTAAAGTTCAGCAGATGGAAGAAAAACATGTCATTGATTTCACTCTGGAAAAAGCAGCCATCCCTTTTGCTGGGGGTGGTAGGCAAAGTAAGCCCAGCTCTCCGCCCACGCCCTCACCAACTATGGAGACGATGGCTTGTTAATTAAGAAGCTGCAGGCTAACTTCAGATGTCACAGAATTCAAGACCAAAATTGCATTAGTCATCTTTTGCATCTTCAGTTCATACAGAGGTAAAAATACCACGAAGGGGATAAAATTGCTCTTCTCACTATATATACCATCCTTGTGTATTGTGTGAAAAAAGCCCACAGAAACATATTCTCTGCTTTATTATAAAAAAACTGATTACTCATCATGGCAAAAGCCCTCTCTTAAAACTGTACCTTCTTAAAAAAAAACACAAACCACCCAAAATGTAGCTTCTGTGTCAGAATTAGCAATCCAATTGTTGTTATTCTTGTTAGGTGCCAACAAGTATAATTTATAAGACCCTATAACAATAGATCTGAACCCTGTCCTGTCCTATGCCATCCAATTAGATCAATTCAGTAGTGGCTGCATCAACAATAATATTCCTGTAAGCATCTCCAAGGTCTTCCAGAGATGAGGATATAGATGCTGAGTCTATGCTTTTACTGATGGTGAGATGGGGCTGGGGAATGAGCCTTTTACTCAACCAATTGGCAGCTTTGTAGAGTTAAAAAAAAATAATAAAAATTTCATGATAAGAGAGTCAGAGCTGGTTTTGTGGCACACAATCCTGGGACTTACTACCTCTCAGAGAAAAGTCTTTTCTGTAAGAAGGAATGTGGAACTGGTTTTCCAGTCTTGGTTTTTATGACTTATGTAGCCAAAGCATCTTTGTACAAAGAACATTACACCGGCCTGTTGCACTGGAGGACATGTGGCTAAGTCATATTGAACACCAGAGTGTTCACCTTGAGGAACTGAAGTGCTACTTGACCTCTTTGTGGCTCAGAGTTCCCATCTGCATAGTGGAGAGGACAGGAGCTGTCTCTGACCCGCTGGGACCTGGGCAGGAGTGGGTAAGAGAGAGCTAGAAAGCACGGAGCCTTTTCTGGAGAAAGGCAGTGTTCAAGTAACAGTGAACTCAACACAGTACTCCAATCCCAAAAAGCACAAAAAACAAGTCCCAGAGTCACGGGTACTTGTGTTCTGGCTCTTGGAGAGCAGAGGCCTTCAGAGAGCAGGCAGGTTAGAGAGCTGTGCGGGGAGCTCAGAGAAAAGCTCCACAGAGATAGCCCATCAAGACAACTGCAGCCCCAAGGACCAGAGCTCCCCTGGACAGGAGAAAATGACCTGCACAGGGCGTTCAGTGGAATCAGCAAACCGTTCAGACCAACTGCTTGATGCATATATTCATGTGTGATCTTCAAGGTGATCAACCTAAATTTTAACAGAGTAAAGGTTTTCTTCTTTTTCCAAGTAGAAAGTTAAAGAAAGCTAGCTAGATTTTCCTTTTAGCATAAGAATAAAACCCAATTTTGAGACTAGTTGAAAGAAACTGAGGGAAAATTCATACACACCAGCATTCCTCCACTAGGGCAGAAAGAAGTGAATGTGGAATTTTTTTTGCAGCTACAAACTGACTTTCTTTTGACATTTTTGGGTCTCCCAAACTAGTGCGTGCATGCTTAAGTACTGAAAACACTCAAAGAATCAGAAGGAGGTGTTATCACAGGGATCCTCCAGTCCCGCTGAACAAGAGGGGTTAACGGACTAGATATATAGTCTTCTCTAAGTTCACAATGAAAATTGGAAAACTTTACACTTTAAAGTCACAATGTTTATTTTGGGTTCAAATCCACTTCCTCAGGTCTCTCAGTTGGATGTCCCAAGGGAAAACATCTCCATTCCAGCTCCCATTATAAAACTGTCCATTCTCGGTTTTTGCTCCTCTCTTAACCCATCTGCTTGTTTTTTGCAGGACAATTCAAAGTCGCTTGAATCTATGCAGCTGGAACCCTTACATCACCAGAAACAGCGGTACCAAAGACTGGGTTTGGGGGAGATGTCATCGTTTCTTAGTGCCAGCGCTCCCGCCACCGGATTTGCTGAAGCTCCGGCTCATCTGGGGGAAGTGCACGGTTGGCGTTCTTTCTGTGGGACCATATAATCCCAGATTCCTAGCCGTGGCTGACTTCCGGAGTGGCTTGACACTGGGAAAAGGGCTAAAGATGGGAGTTTTAGGGTTGCTGCCTTGCGGAGGCTTGCTGGGGGCTTTGCTTTCTCTGGGTGTGTCAGGTATTTCTGGGAAGTACCGCTGGCTGGGTGGGTACACCCTGGGCTCTGTCTCAGCAGTAGCATCCCCCTGGCTCAGTTCCAAGCCTTCTAATTTCACCTGCACTGCAGATACACTGGTGTCTGCATCCCCAAACACCGGCTCTGGGGACTGCCCCTCAATTGTCCTCCCAGGGGTGCCCTCAGAGCTGCTGCCTTCTCTTGCAGCTGCTGCTGCTGCTGTTTCCTTGGAGGTCAATGTCCCCAGGCTGCTTGTTTTGCCACCTTCACTCTGCTCTTCTATCAGCCCAACAGTGTCTCCACAGCCCGGCTGGCTCTTGGTCCTCGTCATGGTCTTTTTGTGGACCCGGATGTGAGTTCGCCATGGAGAATTGAGCTTTGTCTTAAGGTCTTCATAAGAGACAGGAGAAAGTTTGCCTCCCGTGTGCCCAGGGATGTGGATGACTGCATTCTTGGCAGCTCTGTTAGTCATCTTCATCTTCTTTCCTAAAAGGAGGTGGTTGATAACTGGAGAATTGTTTACCTGAGACGGGAGGAGGCTGGTCACTGGCCCTTTATCTGAAAGAAAGGTTGAAAGGAGGTATGAGACACATCTCTATCACAGACCAGAAATCACAGGGAGGTTTCCCTAAGCCCCTTCCCTAGTCTCCCAGGTTTTGGCAGAGCCATGTGACTGACAGCATCAGAATCTGAATTCCACCACAGAGTTGGGTACTGATTCCTTGCTCTTCAAAGAAAGGAAAGCTCTGACCCCCTCATTACTTGTTACACTCCAGATTCCCTAATATTCATCTCTGAACAGCAACCTCAGAGGTTTCTATCTGGAAAATCTTCAAAAGTTTTTAAAATAATAGGACAAACATTCTGAGCATATGGTCGATCAGCTGTCAGCTTCTGAGAGAAGGGGGAAGAAAACATTGCACATTATGAAGTGAGAGACAGCAGAATGAGAGAAGTGATAAGAAGAGGGTGATAATGCAGTGTAATCACAGCTCTCTAATGCCTGGCCCTAGGTATGAAAAGCCACTTTGATGTCCTTGATAGACTTCAAACAAATGGAAAATTCTGGAGTCTCAAAAGCTGTGTTCTTCCAGAAGTAACTGTTGATAATATCACTACCTCCCTCCGCTGGCTACAAGTGAGCTCCTCTCTCTGCGACAGCCCTAAACACACGTGACCCCAGAGATGACAGCAACAGCCCAAAGAAGCAGGGGAAAGCCTTGCTCATTTTGTGTAGACATTCTTGCCCTACAATGTCCATATCATCTGGTGGACTTCCTCCTTGCCCTACGATGTTCATACCATCTGGTGGACCTCCTCCTTGCCCTACGATGTCCATATCATCTGGTGGACTTCTTCCTTGCCCTGCGATGCGCATGTCATCCAGCTGGACTTCCTCCTTGCCCTAAGATGTCCATATCATCTGGCTGGACATCCTCCCATATGTATTGTCCTAGATGCTTGCCCACATTCCAACTGTCACTGACAACACATTGTTTCCTCTTGACTCCATGTCCTACCACCTCCTGATTTTTACTACTTAGATGACTGGTCTATCCATTACCTATCTTCATAGTTCCTCAATCCTTCCAGTTCTATGACCTTTAAAAGCCATCACACCCCTGTATTTATGTTCTAAACCTAATCACCCAGATCCACATAACAGGAAAACATTTAACTCTAATAATACTCTCCTTGACTCTCCTAGCTCTTGGGTTGTCAGTTTAACTAGGTCTGAACCACAGAGATTTCTGGGTCCTTGGTCTTTCAAACATCTCCTCTGGCTCTCACAACCTCTGGTTCACTTATATCCTTGCCCTACCTAAAGGCATGGCTGCAACTCTCCAATCAAGAGATTCCACACACATTCCAATGATCTCTGCTCTCTGTCACACATATCTGAAAGAAATCAACCCTGGAGCTACAGTCTACATTCTCTTTATAGAAAGTTAAGAAGTTCATGGATATTAGGGAACAAAATCACCAAGCAATACAGATTGATAGTCCTTTAACTTAATAATTTTCTGCTTTTCTGGGTTCTCAATACTACTAAAGAACCTTTCTCTTTTCCCTTCTCTTCTCTTCCCTTCAGAGATCTATCGATAGTTTCATTGTTTTTCTTCCATATAATACCTCAAATGATCCCCAATAAGTTACTTTTCCTCCAACTACTTTATGAAAATGGATGATACTAGTTGAGAAAGATTTCCATTTCTTGCCCTCCCTAATCTAGGGAACAGGTACTTCAATCATTATCATCTTCCTTTTTTTTTTTTTAAATCTCAAAAGTAGTGGTCCATCCATTTTGCCTTTTGCTCAAGGCCAGTCTCTTCTCTGGCTCTTGTCCTATATCATCTCTGAAACTTTGCTACTCAAAGTATAGTCTCCATCCATCATCAATTAGGAGCTCTTTGGAAATGCAGAATTTCCAGTTTACTCAAACAAATTAAAACAGTTCCTGAGCTCTAGTAGATCCCTAGTGATTTATATGCTCTCTAGACTTTGAGAATCAGTTCTCCATAACTGTGCCTTGGAACAATAATTTGTCCTTTAAGGAGAACCATGTTAACCAAGATCTAGAACAGGAGTGAGCGCACTTTTGCTATAAGGGAATAGCTTATTAATATCTTAGCTGTTCTAGTGAAAAAGCAACTACAGATAATATGTAAGCAAATGGGCATGGCTGTGTTCTAATAAAGCTTAAGTTTACAAAAACAGGCATTCATGCTTATCTATTTGAAACCAACTGGTCAAAATCTACCCCAAAGCAAAGATGAGAAGGAGCAGGAGTTGGAGTGTCGGATAGTCCAACAAGGGAGGACAAAAAAATGGAATGAAACCACCTGAATGGAAATAAGAAGAATGTCGATAAAATAAGGAAAATGCAACCAATGGGATTGAACAAGATGTATTAAAAATTGTTCATTGGGAACCTAGTTCACTGCATAAACATTCACCAAAAAATGAGTAAACACTTAAACAACAACAACTCATAAACAAAACTCAAACCAGGAAAATGTCAGGATTTGGTCTGTGGGTCATCATGGTAGACCCCTGACCAGTACAAGCCACCAGGCCAATTCAGTTACAACATCATAAAATCACTGTCCTACCTAAAGGTTGACACCACACAAAGGAAAACGGAAGTACGCAAAGGTTCGGACACATCTGGGCTGGAGTTCTGGCCTGACCACTCAGTGCAGCCTCATTGCCCTGCACCATCACCAAGTCTTCCTGAGTAATTGTTTCTGCATCTTTTGAAACTCCTTTTAAAAAGAGTTATCAGCCCTTGCCTTCCTCATAGATTTATTTTAAGGATAAAATGAGAAAATGTGTGTGGAAAATGTTTTGAAAATTAAAGTGCTATTCACCATTGTTGCTAAGTTTCCTTCGTGACTCTCTGTGGGATGACTCAGGAGAAAGCGAGAGTCTTCAAGAAGTTGCCTACTTCTCCTCGCTCCATAAGTGGAAGGTGAATTCAGATTTTGTGCAAGGTCAGTCACATGCTCATGAGCCTTGGAAGAGCATGCCAAATTTATATCTTACTTAATTCTGAACAGACACCATTGTCATTAGGATATCCGCTAAGAACAAGCTAAACCAACTCCCAAGGGACACATTCAACAATCAAGCAGATTGTCCATTGGATGTTTAGGATGGAGGAGAAAAGTGCAGTAGTAGCTTGACAATCCTTGGAAAAGAGCACTTCCACCTATACAACCAATTGCTGTCAAGTTGACTGTCATTCAGTGCAACCCTATGTGTCAGATTAAACTCTGATCTATTGACTTCTCAATGGCTGATGATTTTTTAAATTTTTTTTTTTTTTAAGTAGATCACTTTCTGGATGAAGGCTTTTTCTAGATGGGCGTGAACTTCCAACCTTTCCATCAGCAGCCAAGAACATTACCAGCGTGCAGCTCCTCAATTGTATTATAATTGTGCTTTCTTGCTGACTGTCAAGTGAGCACAGGCTGTTGAATTTTTTTCCCCTTTTTCTCTGATTGCATCATCTGTTATGTTGCTACCAGGTACATTTAGTAAATGTTGACACATGGTAGCCCATGTAACAGCATAAAAAAATAGCATTTTCTTGGTTGTAATTTTTCTGGAGCAGATAGTTAAGTCATCCTCTCACACAGCTCTTGTGTGGGTTCAAACGGACAACCTTTCAGGTAATCAGTAAGGCAAATTTGTGCCACTAGGACACCATATCTGTAATACGGCTACTTAAATAAATAAGCTTAATTTATTAGTGCCTACATGGAGAAATCCTATTCTCAGATAAACCAAATTAATTAGACAACAGTGCCAAGGTTTCTCAAGTCCAAGGATTGCACAGCTTGGCCACATTCAAAGCAACATGTAAACCCTTCTCCCAAAGCGCGTATCGTAGCGATATGCTTAATACCATCATTTGTCTGGTCCTTGGGACCTACAAAGAACCCATGGTCTTTTTCTTCTTTAGAGCCTGATAAAATGAAATTAAAAAAGAGTTGCTAAATAACATGCTTATCTCGTGCCAGCTGTGTTTGTGGGTGCTGTGCTACATTTAGCAATTCGAGGCCATTCAAGGAACCAGTGGTTCCTCCATTCACAGGCTGAGAGAATGGAATCGGCCGAATTGAAATTGATGCACAGAAAGAACAGCATTACCTGCCCTGATATACACCTGGTGAACCTGCTGCTGTTGCTTCTTCTTAATCCGAGAGTACTGACGCTTGAGCGCATTGATATCAGTGGTCATGCGTTCCATCATCATGCTGTTAAAGGCCGCATGGTATTCACTTCGACAGGAATTAATTGCTCCAGGACTCAGCTCTGCAATGTTATTAGATCTCAGGCTCTGCTCCTCACTCGGCTCTGTGCTCAAGGGAAGAGAGAGACAAGGAGAGGGTCAGTGGAGGAGGCCAGGATTAAATGGGAAGTGATTACACTATAACTCAACATGGTATTTTGACCTCCAGGAAAATCTAAACCACAAAAAAAGTGTACAGCAGAAATGCATTTGTCCAGAGTTTTATTTCTGCATTTTCTTTTTTATTTAACTGTGGTTCTGAAATGAGCAGCTCAGGTTGCTTGTTTGATTTCCTTCATTATATGGACAATAGTTGCCAGAACAAAACTATTGCCACTTCCTAAAATCCCCTTAGAAAATATGACTCCAGATATTAGGAATCATTGTGTAGTCTTCATCTTCACCATGGATACAAATATCAAATTTCCAACACAAGGTCATGAAGATTGATACAAGGTTGATAGTTTGTAAAGGTTAAAAAGCCATTGAACACATTTTTATTGAATTAAAAATAGCATATTCTCTAGACCTCTGACCACCATATCATAGAACTTAATGTTTTTTATCCATTTCACCAACATATCCTAATAAGTGTACTAAGAAGAACAGAGCAGTAGACAACTTGATAAGTCTTCTGCTCTCAGGACACCTACAATTAGCATAATTGTCCCTTGAAGAGAATTATGATCACCCCTAAGAAACGAGTATGTTGAGAGGTCACTAGACTGCATAAGTCAGAGGAAAATATCAATGTGGCTTTTCTAGCCCAATAGATAAAACTGGCCTGGAGACCAGCTTATAAAAAGAGTAATGAAGGATTTCAACTATCTTCATATCTACTGCAAGTTTTATTCAGATAAAAGCTGGACATTGAATACATTTACTGCCTTTTTTACTGAAATCCTTTCTCTAAGGAGAAGGACAATAAAAGGGGAGCTGCTAATCCAAAGTTAATTAAAGGCAGTTAATAAAGACAATTGATGAAAAACCTTAAGAAGAAATATGTCATTCTAATTGTAGAAGATGTCATTATACACACACACCCATAAACCCACAGAGAAATGGGGAAAGAAATGGAATGCAGAACAAACAATGGAAGGGAAGATTCAAAACCACTGGAGAAATAATTTCTAAAGCATTAAAAATGCATATACTGTTGTTGTTGTTGTTGTTGTTGTTGTTTTGTACAGGAGAGTCAGAACTGACCCACTGCTGACCCTCTGGTGGGTTTTCAGAGGCAGCTAATCACATGGGAGAAGATTGCCCATCCTTCTCCCACAGAGCACGTGGTGGCCTTGAACTGTATATGCCTTCAGTATTGCAGTGCAGCTTCTTGCCACTAGGCCACCAGTGCTCCCAAAAATGCGTATAAATTAAAAATTTTCAAATATTAGTTCAAAAGAGGAAGGAAAGGGGAGGAGAGCAGAAAAATAAAGAGGGGAGAAACACTAGGGCAGCAGAGATTAATGGATGAATAAAGGGATGAAGGAATAGGCAAGGTGAGGGGTGACCAAAGGCATTGATCAATAGTAAATAATTACCTAAAACACAATCTGTAGGAATGATTGTATAGAATGCTATATACATGATTAAAACACAATGTATATGAAGAATTGTACAAGACAGAGGAGAAAAAAAAAGACCAAGATGGATGTCAGAAGAGACTGAATATTGCACTACAATGCTGCGAAGCATGAACAAAGGGAAGAAATTAAGAGGTTAAGGAGCTGAGCAGAAGATATCAAAAGGCAGCACAAGAAGACAGAGAAAAGTATTGTAATGAAATGTGCAAGGATCTGGAGTCAGAAAATCAAAAGGGATGAACTTGCTAAGCATTTCTTAAACTGAAGAACAAATTCAAGTCTTGAGTTGCAATACTTAAGGATGCTTAAGGCAGAATGTTGAATGACCCAGGAAGCATCAAAAGAAGATGGAAGGGATACACAGAGTCACTATACCAAAAAGAATTGGCTGACACAGAAGAATTTCATGAAACAGCATATGATCAAGAGCCTATAGTTCAAGCTGCTCTGAAGGAATTGGCAAAAATCAAGGCCCCAGGAATTGATGAAATAAAAGATGACATATTTCAGAAAACAGATGCTACCCTGGACACGCTCATGAGGTAATGCCAAGAAATCTGGAGGACAACTACTTGGCCAACTGACTGGAAAAGATCTGCATTTATTCCCATTCCAAAAAAAAAAGGTGATCTAACAGAGTGTGGAAATTATCGAACAAGATCATTAATATCACATGCAAGCAAGCTCCTGCTGAAGAAATTACTGGAACAGCACATCAGCAGAGAAATGTCAGATGTGCAGGCTGGGTTTAGAAGAGACCATGGCACTAGGGACATCATAGGCAACGTTAGATGGCTGAAAAGCAGAGAGTACCAGAGGAATGTCTATCTGTATTTCATTGACTATGCAAAGGCATTTGACTGTGTGAATCACACACACTATGGCTAACCTTGAGAAGAAGAGATCCTAGAACACTTAACTGTGGTCATGTGAAACCTATACTTGGACAGACCAGAAAGCAGTAGTCAGAACAGAGCAAGGAAATACTGCATGTTTCAGGATCAGGAAAGGTGTGCTTCAGGCATGCATCCTATCTCAATACCTTTTTCAATCTATAGACAGAACAGATCATTTGGGAGGCTAGGCTTTAAGAGGAGGAATGTGGCATCAGGATTGGAGGAAGACTTATCAACAACGAGCATTATGCAGATGACACAGCTCTGTTTGCTGACACTAGGACATAAGGCCTTTGCTGCAGAAGGTCAAGAACTGCAGTCTTCAAAATGAATTGAAACTCAACATCAAGAAAACAAAGATTTTCCCCACGAGGTCAGTTGGCAGTCTCATGATAGATGGAGAAGAGATTGAGATTGTTGATAACTTTAGTTGATTGGTTATACAATCAACACTCCTAGCACCAGAAGTCATGAAATCAAAAGATGGACTGCACTGGGAAAGTCTGCTGTCAAGGACCTCTCTAGTGTGCTGAAGAGCAACAATATCAGTCTGGAGACTAAGGAGGGAACAGTCCTTGGAAAGGGACATCATGCATGGAAGAGTGGAGGGACAGCACAGAAGAGGAAGACTCAGGATGAGATGGATTGACTCAGGGTGTGGAGAAATGGGAATAGGTCTGTCTGTCAGAGACGATGAGACTGGCTCATGATAGGGCAGGTTTCAGAGCTCATGTACACAGGGTTGCTATGAGCTGCAAATAACAAGAAGTCCCTTTTCAGATATGTCAGTGCCAAATATTTTTTCTCAGTCCTTTTTACTCTGTTGGAGAAAGTTTTGATGTGCATAGGGATTTGATCCTTAGACGTTTCCAATCATCTACTCATTTTATTCTTTCCTGGCAGTATGTTTGGAAGTGTTACTATATAATAGGGATTTAATTCTTCGACAGTACCATTCATCTATCCATGGTATTCTCTCTGGTTGTAGGCTTTTCCATTATGTTTAGAAGTTTGTTCATGCTGTAAATCAGTTACTCGAGTTGTCCCCAGCTTTTCTCTGATTTAATTTTATAGCCTTTGTTTTACTCCCAAAGCGTAATTCACAATAGCAAAGAGAAGAAAGCAGCCAACTTGCCTATCCATAAACGAATTGATTAAAAAATGGTGGTACATTCACACAATAGAATATTACACAACACTGAAAAACAATGAACTTGTAAAATACTACACAAGATGGTGAGCCTGGAAGACAATATGCTGAGTGAAATATATCAGCCACAAAAGGAAAAATACTGCTGTTATAAAATACGACTAACATAGGGGCTTGAGTGGAGAAGACAAAAGATTGGATAGATAATTAACACTGTATGAGAATCGCTAAGAGGAAGGACTGTCTGAAAAGAATGTTTGATTAGTCATTATGTGTATGACTACAATCTGGAATAAGAGGTGTGTTGTAAAGTGGACTGAGAAGGGGGAAGAAAGGAGGAAGGATGAAAATGTGCAGCAATGAATGAATGAATAAAAACCCAACATTCCAGTAAACTTGATAAAATCACAATCAAAAAATAATCAGTTTCTTGCTAATTGAGAAATTCAAGTAAAAGTTGGATAAAAATCTAACATTGTGTTTTAGATTTAGTGTCTATTTCACAGTGAAAGAAAATTCAACTCAAAAATAATACAATTCAATTGAAATAGACTTATTAGGCATCTACTATAGGCAAGCTGGATACTAACTAAGCATATAAAGTTAAATCAAGTGAGCAAAGCAAGTGTTAAAAGCGACTATTAGTAAAGTTAAAAGTAAAAAAAGGTAAATATGTAATATGTATATAGAATATAATACAAAAATGGCCTGCTAAATGATAAACTAACAGACTGTTAATAATGATAATCTAACAAAGACTTGTAATAGTAATAACCATGACAAGCAGTTCAGCGTGATAAGCGAAGCATCTACAGAACAGGATAATAATATCATGGTTCTAGTGAACCCAAACATATGAAAATCTAAGGGTGCATCACCCCTATTTACCTTTAATTTGCTTTTGGTACTTCTGCAATTCAGGTGCTAAGAGCCCACTGAAAGGCCCCAGGCATCCCACCGCATTAGCAATAGCATCTTCATCATCAGGATCATTCTCCTCATCACTGTCTCTACCTTTACCATGTCGTCTTAAAAAATAAAAAAGAAAGAAAGTAACATAAAACGGTGCCATTTAAAAAGTACACAGTTGCAGAGTTTAAATGTCTGGTTTGTTGTGTTGTTCTGTTGTTCACAGAGTTTTCAAAGGCCTGTTATTTCAGAAGTGGATGGCCAGTCCTGCTGCTTAGTCCGTCTTATGTGCAAGCCCCACTGAAACCTATCAACCAAGGGTGACTCTGCTGGTATTTGAAATACCAGTGGAGTAGCTTTCAGCATCTCATCAACACATAAGCCACTACAGCACAGTGCATATATAAACACAAGTACATGTGTGTGTTTGTGTATACATATATCTTTATGAACACACACACATACATACACATATACTATTTAGTTGCTAGACAAAAGGCTGATGGTACAAACCCATCCAGCATCTCCAGGGAAGCCTGGTGATCTGCTTTCAAAAACATTATAGCCAAGAAAACCCTCTGCAGGATTCTATCTACTCTGTCATATGGAATGACTGAGTCAAAAGGTACTCAATAACACCTAACAACAAACATAACACACATAAACTTTCCTCATTCCTTCCTACCTTCAGTCATGTCCTCACCTGACTTATTCCCACAGGTGATCACTGTTACTCATTTTTATGTATTCTTTGGTTTCTTTATACATACATAAGTAGATATAACTCTACGATCTTATTTTTCTTGTCTTTTTGCATAGATGTTAGCATCTTTACAGCCTCTTCTACACCTTGCTTTTACTCATTCAAGAAATCTTCCCAATTTGTTTATATGGAGATTCCTTCCTCATCCTTTATACAGGGGTACCATACTGTATATATGTAGACTATATTAGGGACTAAAACCCATAACGGTGCATATTCTTTTCCCAGTATTATACTATTAGAATATGTAACTTCGTGCATAATACATTTTGCATGTATAAACTATGTAACTGTGTGTAACTCTATCTGTGGGATTATTCATATAGAATTTCTGGGTCAACAGGTTTATTAAATTGTAATTTTGACAAATAATACCATCTTGTCCACCACAAATCTTTAACCTCTCACCAGCAAGGTATAAGAGTGTCTGTTTCCTTACTCATGCAATATTATTCAAAATGGGTGAACCTGGAGGACATTATGCTGAGTGAGGTATCTCAGTCACAAAGGGATAAATGCTATATGGTGCCACTGTTGTAGAATGAGGCTGGCATTGGG